CGGTGAGGCTCGAGGTGCCGGTGTGGGCTGCGGTTTGATTGGCAAGAGCAGATTTTGGGAGAGCCGGCGGTAAATCGAGTCCCGGGAGCGTCCATGCCTTGGCCAAGCGCCGGCTCCGGAGCCCGACAGCTGGGATTGTTTGTGCGGGGGGGCTCAGTGCCGTGGTGGGGGGCAAACCCCAGCACTGCCCCCGCGGCCACCCCGGGGCGGCGAAAGCTTCCTTGGCTCGGCGGTGCGAGGGGCCAGCGGTGCCGGGGCGGGATGCGGTGACAGGGCGTCCGGCATCTGCGGCTGTTCGGCATCCGTGACGCCTGCTTGTCCGCGGCTTATCCCTTCCCCGCAGTTCCCAAACCCCTTTGGCTTTGTCATTGGCTTTTATTTTTTTATTTATTTTCCTCCCCCCCCCGCCTTGCGCACGAGAGCAGCACACCCTCAGCGAGACACACGTGTGTGCTTGCTTCCCTCTTCCCCCCGGGAGCCCCATGGCACCCCTGGCTCTGCATGGCCACCAGCTGAGCTGACCCCCCCCACTCCCCTTCTCATCCTCCCCGGCTGTCGGAGCTGCCACAAGGTTTTGGCCGGTGACTCCCTGCTGCTGAGGGGAGGGGTCCGGGCAGGCACACAGACACTGGTGCTGGTGCAAATTCCCCTGGCACTTTGGCTCAGCGCCTCTGTCTGTCTGCCTGCCTTCCAGGGAAGGCCTGATCTTGCCCCTCCAAAGCCCTTTCTCCCACAGTGCCTGTGGTCACACGTGGTTTTTCGGGCTGGCTCTGCTCCACCAAGGTGGGTGTTCTCAAAGCACTGTCCCAGGACAGCCAGCCTGAATCCTCACTGCCGACAGGGACAGGGCTTTGCCAACCTCAGTGCGATGGGGATCCTCACCAGGCCAGGCTGCGGGTTTTGGGTGTAGGTAAGGGTTATTCTGGGTATGTTCTTCCCTTCCCTGAGCCGATTTGGTGCTGGTGGCCCTGACCTGGGAGTGTTGGGGCTGCTTGTGTCCCTTGGGAACTCAAAGTGAGCTGCCTGCCCTGCCCTCGGGATTGCTGTCATGGGCTCCTGAAGGTCATAGACCTCTGGACGGGCTTCATGGCTTCTCCTTTCCTCCCCCACCACCTTGTCCTTCAGCCCCTGCAGTTGTCATGGCTTTGCCAGGCTGAGGCATCCACACTTGTGCTGGCTCGGAGCAGGTGGCTGATGTCCCCGCAGCAGTGGGGCCGCTGCTCGGGTTTCTCCAGTGCCTCTGCCACGGCAGGGATTTAACATGCTCGTTTTGAAGGGGCATTAGCTCCTGTGTCAGGTGGCTCAGTGCTTCCCCTCCTGCCCTGGCTCTCCCCAGGGCACAAAGCGGCTTGGGGGCTCCTTGGGCTGGGTGGTCACATCCGTGCACGTGCTCGGTCCTGCTGGGGGGCTCTGGGAACCTTGGGAAGTGCCAGCTTTGTCAACCAGTGACCTTGGGCATGTCCCTGTGCTTCCCCATGCTTTGGTGTTGCTCTCGGAGGGGGGGGTGGTTAATGAGTTTAATTGGGTTTAATTCCCCCCTCCTCACTGCTGTGGGGCTCTTGGCTGCGCTTGGGAAGTGTAACTGCAGAGCTGGAAAGGGCTGTTGCTATTTCGTGCTGTCCCCGAGCGGGCAGGGCGGAGGCATGGATGGTGCTGGAGTCACCCGGGGTGGATTTTTCCCAGGCTGCCAAGTGAAACAAGTGGGGTCTGAGTCTCATTTAACGCTGCAGCCCTTTATTGCGACTCTGGCAACGTAAAGGAGCCTAAATATGGTCATAAACCACATCCACTTCAAGGTCCCTCCGTGCTGCCAGGGCAGCCTCACAGCGGCTTTGTGCGAGAGAGAACAAAGCCAAAAGTGTCGGACGAAAAGTACGGGAGTGGGACCCAGCTGCCGCGGTGCTGGCGCGTGCCGGGAGCCAGTGCTGGCAGCTGTCTGGCAGGGAGGTGTCAATGCTGGTGCAGGCCTCGGCTCATGGAGAGAGGACGGACATGAGGATGGGGGGAGATGCTGCCTAGCTCATCCTGAAGGAACAGGAGAGCTTGGACGAGGTGTGGAGGGCTCAGTATGGGCTCTTTTGCTGGGACCCTGGGCGAGTCATTTAAATCTAGAAAAGCGTCTGTGGCGAGGGGCAGAAATTGCCTCTTCTTTCCAAGCCAGAGTGCTTCCCAGGGTTGGGTTGGCATCGCTTGAAGCATGCCAGGAGGGGCCTGCCGCTGGGTGCTGTGTGGTGTCCCTCCTGTGTCATGGATTGCAGGGCCATGGCTGTTTTGGGAACAGAGGGGACAGAGGGGAGGGATGTGGGTTGCTGGCATCAACTCCACTTCGCTGGACCACTGCTGCCCCACTGGGTGCCCCCAACAGCCCAGTGCTGGTGACCTGCCATGTGGAGCCATGGTGGTGTGAGCCAGCCTGGAAGGTGATGCCCGAGGCTCGGGAAGTGAGCAGACAACATCCCATTTAAATCCCGTTAATACCTGGGAGTGCACACGGAGGTGGCCCAAGCCACACTGAGCTGCATGGGCAGTGGTGGGGCTGCCGTGCTGATGCCATGTCTGTGCCGTGCCGGACTTCCCCATCTGCAACCAGAGCTAAAAATATCCCCCTGCCTCGCCCCGCCGCCGTCCCATCTGTTCGGAGGGCAAACTCCTCGGGCCAGGGACTCTTTCTTATTTTCATCACTATTTTGGCAGTTCCTGGAGGCTGAGCCGTCCCGAGTTCAGAGGTGACTCTATTGCAGATGACAGTCCTGCCCCCGGGAAGGTTCGGCTCTGCCGCTGAGCCCGACATGGTGAGCAGAAAGCAAGTGAGTCAGAGGAGGAGGAGGAGGAGGAGGAGGAAGGCTGGGGAGGCACGGAAACCCGTGGCCATGCCAGGGCCGTGGGGCAGGCACCGGGTGCCCCCGGCCACACGGGCCCTCCCTGTGCTGACAGGACTGTGGGGTGCATCACCCCCTGCCTCCCCCCCCACTGGTGTCTGAGACTTCACCACCTGATGCACCTCTCAGGGGTTTGGTTTTGTTTTTTCTTTTCCTTTTTTCCTCTAATTAGGGAAGCTTTCAATGAAGAGCTGAAATTTGTTAATCACTTTGTTTGATCAGAGCTCAGGCAGTGCTGAAGACCTCTAGGTTTTTCCCTCTGCCTGTGTGAGCAGCAGTTTGCTTTTGCTTTCAAGATGGATCTTGCCGTCTGCCTGCCAGCAGCTCTGCCTCCCCGGATCTGTCGGTTTGCATCTCGCACTCCACTTTGCTTTGCTTGTGGTTCTTCTTTAATTTTTCCTTTTCCCTCACTCTTGGTGTCTCCTTGCTGTAGGTCCTCACCACTTACAAAACAGACAAGAGGCTGCATCCTTTAAAAAATTGTTAAAAATGTGCCCACTTGGAGCAAGGGTTTGTTAAATATGCAGGAAATCAATTTGGGGTGATTTATTTTGGGAGAGGTAGGCTGTACGTTTGCTTTCTCTTAAATGGGGGCTAAAAAGATGAGGAAGCAGGACCACTGGACTGCACAGGGAGAGTTTTTTGGGGAAACTCAGCCTGTTTTTGTGTGGGTCACGCCGAGGCTGGGGGTGTGCAGCAGCTGCTTCCTGATTCCCTTGCTGCTTTCCTGAGCTGTAGGTGAGCCCTGTATAAAAGGGGGTGATGAGATGAGGTCTGTGCAGTGGTTGTGGGGCTCCTCACTGCCACCTTCCTTGTCACCTGGAGGGCTCTGGTCGCAGTGAGATGTCCCGGTTGTCGTTGAGTGCTGGGATGCCAAAGCAGCTGCCGGGGCCTGTTCCTGATGCCGAGTGCTGTTGTGGCACCCAGTGGGACTTTAAACAGCTTCGTGCCACTCTGGTTCCCAGGGGAGCGGGCACGCGGTGCTGCTGCTCCCTGGCTGCCAAAAGCGAAGCCTGAATTGGCGGGAGCGGTGCCGGGCAGGTGTCTCGGTGCCGGGCAGGTGTCTCGGTGCCGGGCAGGTGTCTCGGTGCATGCAGTGAGGACGAGGTGGAAGGGCGGGGTGATGCCTGTGCCGGGATGTGTCAGGCTCCTGCCACCACCCAGGAGCCACCGTGGTGTCCCATCCCCAGGCAGCCGGACCAGACTGTGCCAGGGCCGTGCATTTCACTCCGTGCCGAGCAGGACACGTATGATTTCCCAACATGCAATTAGCCGTTGGTTTTCCTGGAGGCGGCGCACGGCTGTGCCCGTGGCTGCTCATGGAGGGGGTCGGCAGCACCCACGGCCCTGACCATCCTCTCTTTAATTGATCAGTGCTAATTGGAGTCCAGAGGGGGGGAGCTGAGTCCCTGCCATCTGTGCTGGCCGTGCCCTGGCGCCCAGGTCCTGCCGGCGTGGTAGCTCAAGGTCAAAGCCGTGTGCGGTGGCTTTGGGCTGCTGCCGGGCATGAGCCGGCACGGGGTGAAAGAGCACCCCCCTCCTGTCCTGAGTCAGTGGCGTTTGGGGTTGGAAAGGGGGTAATTAAGTGACCTATTTCTGGGCAGGGAGGAAGGGAAGGAGGAGGAATCGTTTTTCTTTCCAGAGCTTCAAACAGCTTCCAGCAAGCGTCCGGCACAAACCCAAAACCGCTTCCAAGAGGAGGTGCCTCTGTTGCCCCCCAGCTGGGGGGCTTGGGACACGGGTGGGGGGCTGTGGGCTGTGGGGAAGGGTGACCTCCCACTGCAGCACTGCTGCCGCATCGGCCTTTTTTTTTGGAAGGAGGAAGGAGGCAGGGCAAATCCATGGCTCCTGAATTTTTTTTTCCTCCCAGCCCCCAAAAATAGTAAGGAGATTTGGGAGGCAGCCTGTGGGGTCCCCGACCTGAGCCCACCCCAGGGCTGCCAAGGGATCATCTTAGAATTCCCAGTAGGATTCCTCCTCCTCATCCTTCTCCTGCAATATGGGAGATTATCAGCAGGAGGTGGATCCTGCAGCCCTGGGGGTGCTGGGACTGTCAGCAGGGGGGTTCCTGCTCTGGAGGATGCGGTGAAGCTTTGGGTGGAAGGTGCTATTGATGGATATAAGCAGTGCTTATAAATAGCCCTGCTTGAAAGTTTTCATCTTCCGTTTTAAATGGAAGTGCCTTTTGGAACAAAGTGACTTTCCTCCATCCTTTTGGAAAGCATCTTTTTTTTTTCTCTTATTTTGAAGATGAAATTTTTCTTTTTACTTTTAAATGTTTTCCTTTCCAATTATTGGAAGACTTCAGGGAAAAATTGCTAGGCGCCATATTCAGGAACACATCCCATGTCGTGCAGGTGGAGAAAATATGTGGGGTCAGATTAGTTTGGTGTGGTTTTCCTTAGAAAAGAAATTGAGAATGGAAAATGTTCAAGGCATCAGTGACATTTTTCTGTTAAAGCTGACAAAATTTGGGGGGCCGAAAAAATGGAGTTTGCTTAAAACCTGCTGCATCAAGTGTAAGAAAAAACCCCTTTAAATAAATTAAATAAATTGGATGAAGAACTTTAGTTTAGTGAAAAACTGGCAACATTTCTGGGCTTCTGTCTGGAATTTTTCAGTTGTAAAACCTGAAATCCTCCCCCACCCCAAGCAGTAACCTTGAGACACAGCGCCGGAGCAGGAGTTTCCACTGACAGGGAAGAAAAAAATTAAAATAAAGAATGTAGACAAATTATTTTGACCAACCAGCCTTTTTTTTTTGTTGCAAGGGCAGTCACTGAGACCAGCCTGCCCCTGGGCCGTGGTGGTCAGTCCTGGGACCAGCAGATAAACCAGCATCATACAGGGCTGGGGCAGGGAGTGGCTGGGATTTGGCTGCAGGCACAGGTGCTCCTGGTCTGTGGTGGCATCTGTGGGAGAGGACTTTCTGCAAGCTCTGGACTGCCAAGAAATGCATGTTTTTCACCAGTCTTGATGGTCCAGAGGCAGAGAGGGGTCATGTGTTTGTGTAACCATAGGCTGAGCTGTC